GATTCTTCCACCAATCTTGATGCCACATTCCTCCTCGTACAGCCCAGCACACTGGGAAAATCTGAAGTTAGGGATCTCTCCAAATTATCTGAAGAGTAATAATGTCAGTTTGGAAGAGTAATAATGTCAGTTTGAGGATTAGGGTAAATGTGATTCAGGCCATAGTCTTTCTGATTACTTGCTATGCATTTGAGAGCTGGACAATAAGGATGACAAGAAAGGAAGTGATACCTTTTAGCTGTGGTTTTGGAGAAGAGCACTGGATATCCCATTGACGGCCAAGACAATGAACAGCTATGTCTTGGTGGAGGTGCAGCCAGAGTGTTCTTTGGGGGTAAGAATGATGAGGCTTTGCCTCATATATTTCCAGCCTGTTGCTAGGAAGTGCTATTTCTGGGAGATGGACACGATGCTGGGAAAGGTGAAGGATTGGCAAAGGAGAGGAAGACCCTCAACATACAGGTGGCAACATACACTCTCAACCAGGTGGACTGATATGGTGACTGTTGCAATGGGCTCTTGTGTGTCAGGAAGTTTGAGAATGGCATAGGACAGAACAGGGTTCAGATCTGTTGTTCATTGGGTCACTATGACTTGTACTTGACTCAACAGCACCCAACAACAATAATGGCAAAACCTGTTATGTACTGTTGAGTTAGAACCAATTTATAGGTGACCCTCTAGAGAGTTTTCAGAGGTAGTAAATCACATAGTAGGAGACTGCTTATCTTCCTCTGGTAGCAGTAAGAGATCGTTGTTGTAACCGTTGGAACCAACCCATAGCTGACCCTCTGACGGATTTTCAGAGGCAGCTAAATGCACCCCCTCCTGCACCCCCAGCAGCTACTGGCCTTGAGCCACGTGCTTGCCACTAGGCCACAAGGGCAATAAGGAAGAATAAAATGCTCTGATAGCTATAGTTTCATAGAATGAGGCAGGAGGTCCTACAAAAATAAATGATCTGATATTAGACAGCTCACTCTGATAGGAAAGGGGTAATGTGTAAAAAGGAAATGCAATAATATGGGTAAGATATTGTATCTTAAATTAAAATGGGGGTTCCCAGATAGTGCAATCGATTAAGTATTAAACTAGTTGAAAGGCTGATAGATTGAATCCACACTAATCAAAAGATTCTTGAACCGAGGACTGGTTCAAAGAACACAGCCTTCAAAACTCTATGGAGCAGTTCTACTCTGCACATGTGAGATCTCCAGGAACTGAAATTTACTAACAATAAAACCAAGCTACTGGCAATGAGAACAGCTAAGGGAATACATTTTTTAAGATCTTTATAATTTGATAACTGATTAAGACATATGTTGTTGTTGTTGTTTGTCAGCTGGTGGAGTGGATGCAAACTTTGAACCTTGTGATGGCAGTACATTTCCTTACCACTAAGCCACTAACAACCTGCGTTTGCAGATGACACAACCCTACTTGCTGAAACTAGGAAGATTTGAAGCACTTGCTGCAGAAGGCCAAGGACTCCAGCTTTCAAGATGGATTGAAGCTCAACATCAAGAAAACAAAGATTCTCACCACTGGACCGACTGGCAGCATTATGATAGCTGGTGAAGAGACAGATTATCAACAGCTTTAGTCTGCTTGGCTCCACAATCACCACTCTTGGTATCAGCACCCAGAAAATAAAAAAACTGATTGCATTGGGGCAGTCTGCTCTCAGGGACCTCTCCAGAGTACTGAAGAGTAACAGTGTCAGCCTGGAGACTAAGGCGCACCTGATTTGAGCCATTTCCAATTACTTGCTATGTATCAGAAAGTTGGACAATGACTAGGGATGACAGAAGAAGAAATGATGCCCTTGAGCTATGGTGCTGGAGAAGAGTAGGGAATATACCATGGACTGCCAGGAGAACAAACAGGTTCATCCTTGAGAGGGTGAAACCAAGCTGCTCCTTGGAGGCAAGGATTCTGAGGCTTTGCTTGACATACACTGGGCGTGTGGCAAGGAGGGATCAATCCTTGGAGAGAGACATCATACTTAGAAGGGTGGAGGGACAGTGCAATAGAGGACGATCCTCGTTGAGGTAGACTGATTAAGTGACTAGGTTAATGAAGGTTGGTTTGTCAGAGACAATAAGGTTGGGAGAGGATAGAGCAGGTATCAGAGCTATTGTACACAGGTCGCAACTCGACAACACATAACAACAAGCCACTGAAGCTCCCTAAGATACATGAGAGGAAGATAAGTATTTTTTTTCTATAAATTTAAAAAATAAACTTTTTTAGCTAAGTTCTCTACTATTTATGCCCAGTTCCTAGTTTCATAAATAATTTATGAAATAAATAGCTGATACAAAAGTTTTACTTTCAACTAATTCAAATACCATAGTGGAAGATACGGGAAGAGTAATCATTAAGTCTCAATACTAGTATATTGTGAAAGGATAGGCAATTTCCTCCCAAGCGATTTACTGCTCCTGAAAAACTGCTGGAAGGTCAACTATGAGTTAGTTCTGAATTGATGGCACACAACATCTTGTATACCACTTCCAAATGGTATCTTTACATACCAAAACTGTATAGTATCCTTGGACACAACTAGCTTAGACTAGCTATACAACTGGGGAATTATTATCAGACTAGAGCCTAATTTTCTTTAAAAAGACATTAGAGTTACAGATATGAAATATAGATACCAATTAATGTTTACTAACCTTAAAAATAACCCTTTATACAACAACAAAAAGTATTTGCTTAACTGCGAAATTTTTGAAAATCTAAATAGCAACTCAAGGTTTTTAATTTTCTAAAACACTGACCCTGAAATAGTGATAAAATAGGACTGAAGGTCATCCTATTTCTGATATACTTGCACGGGTCTACTAACATTACTGACTATTAAAACAGGAGTCAATTGTTTTCTAATTGATATAATAAGTTTTTTTATGTTAATGTTTATATCATAACAGTAAATTTACAATGAATTACAGTACATCTCAGTTCAGACTACT